CATATACAATTAAGTGAGGGATTGGGAAAAGGGCTGCTGGCAGGTTCTGTATCCAGCATGGAAACTGGAAGGATCGGACAACAAAGCTAACCCATTTTTCAGGTGGTCCCTGTCCATTTTAAGAGGAAGTACAAGCAAACCAGTTCTGCTTCATGGAGCAATTGGGCAAATGCTGTCCTCAAAAGGTGCCAGAGAGGAACCAGCCATGTGCTGGCTGCTGTTCTCTTTACCCTGTAGCAATACTGGTAAGACCTGCAGTCCCCAGATGCACAGGGGTGCAGTGACCCCAGGCGCAGGCACATGAGGTGGCTGTGCTGTGTTGCCAGAACCAGAGCAAGACTGGTACCCAGTGTGTGGGGCAGGGCTGCAGTGCACGAGTGATAAATCCTGTTTTTCATGTGTAACAAAGCCAAAGCAGCAACTGTTTGAACTGTTTTTTGAGAGAAACGGGGTGAAGAGAATGACTCTGATCTTGGAAGTGAAGATCTTGGTGGTTAATGTTTGGCAGCACTTAATACAATGACTTGAAGAACATGCCAGTGGAAAAGATAAATGAGTCCATTGCTGTGTTAGGGAGTCAAATGCCAAATACCACAGCTACCTCCCATACGGTACGTGTGAACGCTGGTGCGGTGTTTTGGCTGTATGAGGCAACTGTACCCTGCAACCCCTTGGGGAAGGGAGAGGAAGGAGGGCTCCACTTCTTTCTTTTTAAACACAAGTCTCTGCTTCCCAACAGCTGTTCTTAAAGCGGTTTATTAGTGGAAGGAATGTTTCTTCCATTCTTACAGGAAAATGCTGGGAGAATTTAGATTATTCATCATAAGCTTCAGTATCGGCTTATTCAACTTGCTTTGCTTTGCTTTCTGTGATAGGCATAATAGCGGCTCTATTGAGACAGACCTTTCTCTCCCCTCTGTAATACGCTTCTGAAGTGGGTATATTACTAATGATGCAAATAGATTTTAGTTGTGCAAAAGCTAGACACTGTGCCTTGAAAGGCAGTACCTGGTTTGTAGAAGAGACAGCAGAAAACAAGCTTTCACAAGTCAGACTGCTGTTTTATAAATAGCTTTATAAATAGCACCATACTGTAAGCAGGTGGCAAATGAAAATGGCTTGGTGCCTCACAGCTGGCAGGTACTTTATTTTTGGGTATTGGGAACTTCTGCATCACCTTTGGATGCTTGACTTGTGAAAAGTATGTGTTACCATCTACTGGTTGGTCTGGCATTTGCAACACTTGTAAAAGCTGACCATAAATACTGTTAGCAAGCTCTGGCTGTGGCAGAAAATCAGGGTCATGCTGTTATTTTTTGGGTGAGACGTTGAGGCTGGTTGGCCTGTTGTGTAGGGCTTCTAGCACCTAACGGGTTGAAAAGGCCAGTGCCAGATAATGCAGGGTTTGGAATAAACTCAATCTGGTGGCTTGGTAAATATGTGTTATTGGGTTAACTTTGTACTGGCAGGATTCATATTAGATCAGATGTGTCTGTCTAAGCTACTGTGGCTTCCTAATGGTTCAGACATTGCCTGTCTTTCTGCACCAGGTATAAATATGGCATGTGCTCAAAGTGCTCTGGCTAATTCAGTGGAAGCAAGATTCTGCACTAAAGCCCTTTCCAGGTCAAGTTTGTACTGCTACATGGCCTAAGGCTTTTCTATTATTTTACTTTTTTTCCCCACATTAACTGTTACGTTTCATCATGGAACTGTGGCTTGACAAGGTGAGAAGTTATTAAACTTGTTCCAGCATGGATTTTGGATGTGGGAATACCTAATTTCCATGTCCATGCCTTACTGTTTGCCAGACTGATGCTCTGTGTGACCAGCCCTGCTCTTCTCATCCCGAAATTCGCTGCGGGGTGACGAGTCTGCTCCCCAGATGGACTGCTGTACTCTTCTAAGTCAAAGCAAATGCATAACAAAGTCTCTGTAGCCCCCGGCAGCCCTCGCTCGGTGCTTCTTTGGGAGAAGCGTGTACAGAACAGTGTCTTTGAAGGCAGGCCAGGAAGGCATCAGTTTGTTTATGCAGCTCCAGAGGTTCGGCCTCCCACTTATCAGTATGGGGGGCCGAGGGTCCTGTTGCAGTTCAGGGACAGCAACCCTTGAAGGTGCAGCAGTCACCACGCAGCTTGTTTACTGATCGGGGCTCGACTGCTTCGCTCTGAGTGCAAGGGGTCTATGTTCCCCCCAGCATTAAGTCCAATTACATGATCTTTGTTTGAAGAGAGGTGTGAGATTCATCTTCAGCAAACAATAATCTTCTTGGTGGGCTGTAAATTGCAAATAACGATTCCTCTCGGTTTTTGGCAAGTGATTTGCACCATCAACAGCTTATTGTGTGGCAACCTGAAGCTGACAGGCTTGGAGAGCAGAGTGCTTATTAGGTTGGGTTCCTGTTGCTGAAGTGGCACGCACTGTTTCAGGGCTCCCACTTTGCCCTTCCGTGGGGCTTGTAAATCCAGTCTCCCTTTGATTCTTTTCTTTCTCTTTCAGGACAATTATTCTGAGTGACGGCCCTTGCACGCGCTTCTGAGTGGTTATCATGGGCTTCATTGCCTTTCTGAAGACCCAGTTCATAGTTCACCTCCTCATTGGGTTCGTCTTTGTTGTGAGTGGACTGATCATTAACTTGATTCAACTATGCACGCTAGTCCTCTGGCCCATAAACAAGCAGTTTTATCGCCGAGTAAACTGTCGCCTTGCCTATTCGCTTTGGAGCCGTGAGTATGCTTGAAGGGGACGTGAGGGCAGGGGGCGGGGAGGGGTGTGGGTTTTGTTTCTCTTTTATTAATTAAAGAAGAAAAATATATACACATGTATATGTACACAGACGCGTGAGAGAGAGAAGTGCTAAGTTAGGCTTTTTCAGAGCAATTCAAAGCAACCATCTTTTCTGAAAACTGGAAAAAGGTATAAAGGTCAAATGCCTGATACCTATTTTTGCTCTGTTGTTTAAAAGAAATGGGAAGTAAAGCTCCTCCCCACCCCCAACCCCATCGTGACTGGTAGGAAATTGCTGATTCTGTCTCCATTACCATCTTCATCGGAGCTTGTGCGAAGTGATGGGGGAAGGGTGAGTTCGCAGGGTCTGCTTCAGGTGTTGGGCATATGTGCGATACTGACCACTTAGGAGCCCAAGTTGACTGCGTGGTCTGCAGAGAGAGATGCCTGTCTTGAAGTATCTCGTGTAGATGCCTCTATAGCTGAACTGTGTGACACCTTCAGAGTCCTTTTAAACCCTACGGTGTCCAGCTGTGACGCCAGCGTCTCCTCTTGTGAGCAGTTTGCCGCTCTTTTCTTCTGCCCCCAGGACAGCTCTACAGTGAGTGCAGCAGCTTTGCTCTCCTCTTTCAGACCTTTGCAAAACTTCTTCCCTGTGGATGGCTGTTTTTTTCCTCCTCATACAGCTTAACAGGGGATTAGATTTCTGAAATGAATGTTTATAAGGCTCCTTAGTCCAAATGTCACCTCCTGTTTCAGCAGTGAATCATCTAATTCGTTTCCATTCTCCATCCCCTCCCAGTATGCACGGCCACTTACCTTAGTGCTCAGCTCAGCATCCACCTCCCACTTTGGGTAAATGAGTCACCTAAATGAGTACTTAAATTACAGTTGAGTGGTCCACTGACAGGCACCCACATTTCTTAAATCATCGATGTGAACTGCTACCAACAAAAACTCTCCAAAGTATCTAGTTCGCTTTCTTTTTAAGCTTGTTGTCCTTGTCCTTCCTGTGCTTTTTGTCCTACCTATTGAGAACATTGTCTGAGAAGCACAGGAGAAAGGAAATTAAATAGAGAGTGGCAGGCAAACTGTCAGGAGAAAAGGTATTGCAGTGGAAGGAACTTACAGGTAGAAACTTCGTAATGAGCTTGGTTGGAGGAGGGGAGGGTATATGGGATTTTTTTTTTTTTTTAATTTGCTTGTAAGAATTTCTTAATGTGCTTTTAATAATCTGGAATATTATCTCATCCTGAAAACTATTGTTGCACTGGCTTTTCTGAGGATATGAGCAGCTTGTGCCTGTAAGGCTTGTAGGTTCAAACCCATGCTTTCTACATGCTACCATTTGTGCCTGGAAAAATCATGTTTTAAATGCTATTATCTTATATCTTGTATACACTGGAAATGACCTACATTATTGTTCAAAAAGGTTTGGAGTAGATAATTGGGTTGTACCTAGGATAACCCCTTGTGTATAGCCTATTATAAATTAAATCACTGAGAAATTAAACTATGAAAATTAACGTAAATATTATATGGGATTGCAGCGTGCTGATGGCCTGTAATGGAAGAGCTGACAGAATATGCACTTCAATTGTGATTTATAACAAATTAAGTAAGCTTAAGTAAATGCAGCAGTTCAAATGTTGCCATTCATAATGAAATATATTTCATTATGTGGAAGCCTTTTGGCAATGAACCTCTAGGTTGGTGTTCTATTCTGGATGCTACGTTTTGCTCCCTTACTGCAAGCTGTTTAGTTTTAGGCTGAGGGTGTTCATTCAAGAGCTGTCTGTAACAGAAGCTGCTCTGCCCGTCCAGCAGAGATTCAGTGTGAAGGGGTAGCTACACAGATGATCGTGCATCTGGCTATGTACTATAGCCCACTGAAAATCAGGCTGTATTGATAGAATCATTTGGTTGGAAAAGACCTTTAAGATCATCAAGTCCAACTGTACCTGTCCACCACTGAACCATGTCCCTAAGCATCACATCTACTCGTCTTTTAAATGCTCCAGGGATGGGTACTCTGCCACCTCTCTGGGCAGCCTGTTCCAATGCTTGACAACCCTCTTAAAGAATTTTTTCCTAATATCCAATCCAAACCTCCCCTGATGCCACTTGAGGCCATTTCCTCCATCCTGTCACTTGTTACTTGGGAGAAGAGGCCGACCCCCACCTGGCTACAGCCTCTTTTCAGGCAGTTGTAGAGGGCGATAAGGTCTCCCCTCAGCCTCCTCCAGGCTGAACAACCCCAGTTCCCTCAGCCGGTCCTCATCAGACTTGTGCTCCAGACCCCTCACCAGCTTCTTTGCCCTTCTCTGGACATGCTCCAGCCCCTCAATGTCCTTCTTGTAGTGAGGGGCCCAAAACTGAACACAGTATTCGAGGTGCGGCCTCAACTGGTACAGAGAACCGGGGCACGATCACTTCCCTGCTCCTGCTGGCCACACTATTCCTGATACAAGCCAGGATGCTGTTGGCCTTCTTGACCACCTGGGCACATTGCTGGCTCATATTCAGTTGTCTGTTGACCAGCACCCCCAGGTCCTTTTCTGTTGGGCAGCTTTCCAGCCACTCATTCCCAAGCCTGTAGCATTGCATGGGGTTGTTGGGAGCCAAGTGCAGGACCTGGAACTTGGCCTTGTTAAACCTCATACAACTGGCTGCAGCCCATTCTTACTGTATCTCTTCTCAAATACATAAAGCACAGCTTCAGAAGGGGAAGGAGATAGACTCTATCCAGTGTTCATGGCAAACGTTTGGGGAAGAATGTCTGTCGGGCTCTGGCCTCAGCGTAAACCCTTTGCAGCACATGTGATTCATGATGGGTAGTCTGTACTTCAAGCTCTCCTACATCAGCTCCTTTCAGATGACTCATGCCTTTGGAGAGTGCAGTGCATTTGGTTTAGTCTGGTTGCAAAAATTATCTCTCAGATGTTAGTACTTTAAACTGAGAGGTGCGCTGTGCCTCTCATTTGTTTTGTTGCTGGGTGGCTTGTGAGGCCGTAAACCCGCCTGCTTTGGTGTGTGGGAACCCTGGCTGCAGGAGGGGGTTTGTTGTAGTGAGGTGTTGCTCGTCCTCTATAGGAAGTATCCCAAGCAGCACAAGTGATATCGTCCCTTCGTTCAGAAGGATGGGCTTCCTGTAGCATCGGCAGGATCAGTGCCACGTAAAATAGCTGTAACCCCCACGCCAAAAAAAAAAAAAAAGGAAATGAGCCCACTCCTGGTTATAATTACATCACTTATCAGTACACTTGTAAAGGACAATCTGTTTCCTCATATTAATTCTCTGGCTCGTCAGCCCTCCTCTCTCAGTATGAACTCTGGCAAATCTCTTAGCAAAGCTTCCTCCACTATTTTAGAGTGAGTAGTACAAGAAATGCTCTGTAGATTTTTTTTTTTTTTTTTTTCTGATTTTGAAGAAGAAACACACACATTTTATTTTTGATGTGAAAATGCAGCAACTGTAGCAGGTACTGGAGATGTTCCTCCTTAGTACATAGACAGCAACGGAAGGGGAAAATCACTCAGGGTGCCACACTGTGTTTGGTACCACTACTCCATTCTCCTGGCCACCTGCTTGGAAGAGCATAGCTCTCAACTGAGGACACTCTTGCTGTCCTCTTTCTGCTTTTACTGAGCCAGGACAACCAGAGCAAGAAAGGTAAGTGGTTGCATCATTCCCAAAGGAGACAAAGCTGGAAAGCAATGGTAGAAACTTCTAGCTGGTATAAACTATTTTTCTGTCTTTCCTCTGCTGTATTTTCAATTTACCAGGTTTCCGCTCTCTTGATCAGCAAGTTGCATAACTTTGTCATGCCTCCAAATGAGTGAGTCTTGAAAATGATACAGGGGAATAACCTGGCTGATAAGTGGTCACACAGGGAATACAAATGAAAAAACTAGTGCTGTAGAGTCTATGTATCTTCAGCAGAGCAGGATTGGTTTTCCCTATCATTCACCAAAATACTGTGTGTGCTTTCTCTTTGATGTGGTGCAAAATGGGACCCACTCTTTATTTAGCAGTATGGGTAGATTATCCTGGCGTGATCCCACTGATCAGAAGCCCTTGTGTAGGAAGGTGCTGCTCCCTTTTGCAAAACCAGGGCCTCCTGATGGAAAGCTGAAATACTGTGTGGCAGAACCTGATGTACAGAACCAAGGAGGCGCCTTCCAGTTTTGGCCCTGCAAGTTTGTCATAGTAATGTGGGAAGAATGGGACTTTTTAACTGCCATATTTGTGCAACCAAATTTTGATTGCATCCGTATCTCATTGAAATGAGAAAATACCAATGACTACAGTTCGCATGGAAGCAAATCTTCCTATTGGGAGAATGAACTATTCTCATATACTTTTTATAGTTGTCTCATGATACAGGCAATGCCTTCCATCTGCCTAGTTGTACTGAAATGAGAGAAATAGGCTAACCATAGCAACTACATTCAGTGCGTGCTGAATTTAAGTGGAAGGGGTTTTTTTTAAGATGAAAAAAGGGGAGGTGGAAAATAAGAAGAGTGGGTAATGAAGGAAATGTTCAGGATGGAGTAAGAGAGATGCTGGGATATTGAAAAGCTGGAGAAGACAGAGGAGAAAGGGCTCATTCTGTCTTTTGTAGTAAAAGACAGATGCAATTTACCATTCCTGGCTTTGCCTGGATATTTTGATAAATCAGCTTGATTATCTGGTGCTTCTGCCTCTGTGTTGATGACCATAATACTGAACGATTGAGAGTCCTGTGTTCTAATATTAAAATCTATTGCAGATGATCTATGGCACTGTATACCTTTAAAAACCCTTTATTGGTCTGTTTACCTCCATAAAGCTTGTTTCATGCTGAGTAAAAGCATTAGGCTGCATCTATGCATAATTTGTATTCCACCTGGGAGAAACTATACTCATTTAGCAAAGCAATCAACCACTCAACTGTCTGTTCTCAGGCACAAAGTTTTGGGTTTTTTTTTTTTTTTCCAGTGATCCTGAAATTTCACATTCATAATATAATGCCCAAACTTGTCACTGTTAAATACTTACTAAATTATGCATAATGCATATATATAGTGCCATAAATACTGCTTAAGGATGGTGATGTTACTGGGTCTATACCTGTCTAAGCTCTCATTTCATCTCTGCTGGGTTGGATTGAAAAGGTGACGGTGTTGGGAGTCAGAAGAGACTAGGCATTGAATGGAGCTGGAGATGAAACACTACCAAAATGCTTTTGGTAAGCGGCACCCCTAACTCCTTTCTCCATCTTCTAATGTTTGTCAGAGTTGGTAATGCTGCTGGAATGGTGGTCAGGCACAGAGTGTACCTTGTTCTCAGACGAGGCCACAGTGAACACCTTTGGGAAAGAACATGTCATCATCATCTTGAATCACAACTTTGAAATTGACTTCTTGTGCGGCTGGACTATGACAGAGCGCTTTGGAGTGCTAGGGGTACGTGGGGCCATGAGCTTTCCCTTTGTCTGGAGGATGATAGGTCTATTTAAAGCCCATGCACATACGGTTTCTCTGCGTTTGAGTTTCCAGATATAATTCCATCAGCCCTTCATCATCTTAACTTTAATCTCTTTGTTTGCTCTCATTGTACAAATTGGCAAATTACATTTTTGGATTGTTACTTTTGTTTTTCTCCAAGAGTTCCAAAGTTCTTGCTAAAAGAGAACTACTATACGTGCCCCTAATTGGCTGGACGTGGTACTTCCTTGAGATTGTTTTCTGTAAAAGGAAATGGGAAGAAGACAGAGATACGGTTATTGAAGGATTAAAACGTTTGGCTGATTATCCTGAATATATGTGGGTAAGTGTCAAGTTCCTCCTCTCGTATCGACTGCTAGAAGTGAAATGGTGATGGAGATACTCATGTGGTACTGTAGCTTTATATATCAGGAGAATGTCTGCTCACTGCTTTCTTCAAGTGTTGGCAAGAAAAACCTGTGCTCCGCTCCAGGAGGTCTTTTGGGATATGCTGGTAGGGTGTTGCTCTGTTTGCCTGTTGGTGAGGGAAGTCATTTGGGAAATAGTTCAGAAGTTTGCCTAGATGTTAACTTATAAATCAACTTGTGTAATACTGTTAATTTTGTCTGAACTTATTTTTACCTTTTAAAAAAAAAAACAAAACCAAACCAGCCCATATTTGACTACTAAATCTGTATAACCCTAAGCTGCATTTTCTGAGGTAGGCTAAAAAGACACGTAAACAAAAAAGTGTTTTCTGGAGAAATGAGTGAATTTGGAGGCGGGGGACAGGGGTGCAGGGGACACACAGACCATGGATTTTGATAGGAAGTTGTAGTTAGTATGTTCATTGATCTGTGAAATGACAGGTTTCCCAAAAAGTGTCTGTGTAGAACATACAGCAAGCCCACATCTGCTTTTGCAGTTATGCTTTTCCTTTTTATTTTGACATTATTTTTGAAGTCAAGGGTGAAACATCTATGCTTCATTATGCACAGTGTTGTTAGATTTTACTGAAGCAATGCAGTGGTATAATAAACCTATTAACCTTTTAGCTTTGAATGCAAAGGTTTTGATAAATTTACTGGTTTGCTTTTATAGCAGCATGTAACATACAGTTACTTGGCTCATAAAACATTTTAAGAGGCTTTTTGTGCTTTTTAAGTGATTTTTCAATATTATCCAGTACAGCTTGTTAAAATTAATAGTGAAATAGTAAGCCTTAAGTAGGACATTGTGAATGTGTCATTAGTGATTTTCCATCATTACAAAGATATAAAAAATAAGAATCTGGAGAATGTATTTTGAACTACTTAATTGCTTGAATATATGGATATGAACTACATTTAATATATCCTCCTGATTAATGTTACAGAAAAAAAAAAAGAAAAATCTCAAGGCTGTACTTTAGTTGCAAATCTATACATTTTAATGATTCTACAATTGAGAACCAAGGACTAGTCTCTAGGGAAAACAACTAGAAAATATAAATGCAAAATGTAGTTACCATTGATTATTTAAATCAAGACTTCCTGCTTGGTAATTTAAATCATGATTAAAATTGACTTGAGTAAATCAATTTCCTAATTTTTGTGCATTCTAAGTGCCACAATTAGGGCTGTCTGTGCAACCTTCCTTTGTGAGGTCTTTCTCACACGTACACTGTGGCACAATCTGTACCTCGCTCACATACTTGGTCCAGAAGGATCACTGCACCGTTGAGTAGAAGACGGTGAGAATTTGGTATAGAGGAAGGAGCTTGCATTGCAGACTGGGGTTGAGATTGCGGTGTTACGCTCTGTACCTTGTGCTGTCCTCACCAGTTGGTGGTGATGGTTGGTCAGATTTTCATCATGGATGTGCCCTCAAGGGCCAAATGAAGATTGCAGGATCAGCTCCTGTTCTCTCACTGCGTTCTGGCAGGTCTAATTCTTGTGTCTATGGCTTTGCGGTTTTAACATTCATTTAACTTACCTTTTGTGGTGCGCAGTATGTGGATACGCTACTACAGACAAAAAGTCAAGCAGCCACAGTACTGACAAATAGTAGATGCATAGCAATGCATTTGACGAGTCTTTACTTTGAATTGCAATGTTACAGTGTTGCACGATGCTGCTGTGAGAATGTAGTAGCAACCTGCTCTTCTCCCCCTCCATTGCTTGCCAAGGATGCAGAGGTTTGCGCGTTCAAATGCAGCAATCTTTCCATTGCTGGTGCAATGGGAATGATGTCCACCTTTCAAAAAGGCCAGGGATAAACAGAAATTCACCCTGGGGCCTTCAGAAGGGCTTTGTTTGTCTGCTCTTGGCTTTGCATTGCTTCTGGTCTGTCTCCCTCTCAACTAGAACAGAGGCAATATAGAGGCTGGAAAAGGACAGATCGATGTTTTGTGCTGCTTGAAGTCAGTATGGGAAGATTTAGGTCTTTAATACTACTTAGGGTACCACAGTCAGATTGGTGCCTTACAAGATGAACAAGGTCATGGTTTTAGGGAAAGGCACTGTTTTTTATGAACACAACTGATACAAATTAAACAAAAAACAAAAAAAAACACAAAAAACCAAACCAAACCAAAAAAAAACCAGAAAAGCTTTCAGACAAAAAAAAGTCTGTCTTCAGATGAGTAATTCAGGGTGCACAGTACAAATTTTAAATGAGATAGCTAGTGATTAACATGTATTTTCCTAAAGTGGTTGTGTATGATACTTGGATTGCTTTTTCTGATTTGTAGATTAGTCCATCACCAGCCAGCCAAAGCCTTCAGGGATTTTTCTTTTTCTAAGTAAATGTTTCAGGTATAACCGTTTAGACTTTTTGTCACCTTAAATTTGGTACCAATGTTGTTAAAATTAAATATAATTGTAAATGAGTTGTGAGGTGGTGCTTATCCCTAGTACTTGATGATCAAATGAGACAACTGAAGTACGTGCGCATGCGTGGATGTATGTTTCTCTCACACCAATCTTCAGTATTCTGCTTGGTTCCTCGTGATCACAAGATGTCCTTGTTTTTGCCTTTTGTCTCGTACTAGTTTCTCCTGTACTGTGAAGGAACTCGTTTTACAGAGACCAAGCATCGTATCAGTATGGAGGTAGCTGAATCCAAGGGGTTGCCTAAACTGAAATACCACCTGTTGCCCAGAACCAAAGGTTTCACCACTGCTGTCCAGTGTCTCAGGGGAACAGGTACCGGGCAAGCTGCTACTTGTTTATATTAATTGCTACGTGTTGTTTAGCGTACTCCGTGTAGCACAGTGTAGTATACTCTATTGTTCATTACGTCCATTACAATTAGTGAGTTGGCAGTAATAAGCATCCAGCATGTCAGCCATTAATTTGTGGCACGTAACTCTCAGATACCAGTCTTAAAAAATAATAAACCTTTCATGTATGTCGTTGTTGCTTAGTTCATCAGGTTATCCTGTGTTTTAATAACACACATGCTACGTAGATGGGAATGTCAACTGGCTGATACAGATAAATACAACCTGTAAACACGAAGTAGTAAAGGACTCTGCTACCTGACGTTAATGCAAGGCTTGCACAAGGCCTTGTCTAATGCAAGGATGCTGACAACGTGGTTGCTAGAGTTGCTGATACAACAGCCATATTTTCTTTTTTGTAACAGTTTCAGCAGTGTATGATGTAACACTAAATTTCAGAGGAAACAAGAACCCGTCTTTATTAGGAATTCTTTATGGGAAGAAATATGAAGCAGATATGTGTGTAAGGTGAGCATATAATGATGGAGGTGAGCCCTAAAGATGCATGCTTTGGTATGTTGAGGTGTATTCAGGTTTTATAAGGTAACGTCCTTTGCTGCAGTCCCCTTTTTTAACTTGTCCTTCAAGCTTCTCTGCAGGCTACAAAGACCTCCCTATGTCCCCCCTGCTTTAGTTCGCTTTCTAGTGTGAGATCCCATGATATCGCCCAGCAAGTCAGAGGGCACCGGGCAGACTTTTTAAGCCTGGGTATGACCACATTGTCATTATGGGCTTTCCCCAAGTTTTGTGCAGTGAGGGCACTAGTCCACGTTTTTCCTTTCTCTGCTAGGAACAGAAAACCAACTGTTCTGCCTCCTTCCCGGTCCCCTGCAAGCATATGCATAATATAAATAGCCTGTCCAATATAGTAGTCTCTTGTAGTAAATGCTGTAAAGCTCCATACTGTGCCAGTTTCTCTCCTTCTCTCACATGGTTGATTAGCAGCTTGGAAGTTAAATAATGCTGAAATTCAGACATTGTATGAATGAGGTGGTACATTCCTCATTGCTCCTTTGGGTAACACACACATGTGCACACACATTTTTGCACACACACAGAGGCGTGCTTTCTCTCTCTTGCTTTCTCCTTGCTGCCTTCTGCTTTAAAGGGTTCCTTGTGATCATAAAAACTACCAATTTCTTCTTTTCCCTTTTATGTTTGGACCTGACAAACAACCTGGTTGTGCTTTCCACAGTTCTTTTGACAGTTCAGTTCTACTCTCTAGGGACTTCACCCACACTTTGGAAAACATTGCTTACATTCTGGTGATGAGCTTGATGTTCGTTTTTTTAAAAGAAAAAAAAAAAAACAAAAAAACATTGCAACTTCCCCCCACACCTTCCCCTCTGGCCATGGGTCTGTGCATTGCAGATGCATGGCACTGGCTGTATAGATACATTGTCCTTCTACAGGACAGTTGTGTCTTGCCAGAGCCTCCAAAGGTGAAAGACTTGGTAGGGAATCGCACAGGTTACTCATTGTGTTGAGGTACAGCAGCAACAGTTTTATGGAAGAAATGCCATGCTAGGGGAGGCAGAGTGCTGCAGCCCTAATGAGGAAGGGAATTATGCACATTCCAGTTACGTTCTCAGATACTGCAACTTCCACAACATCTTAGTCTTTCAGATGGAAAGAAGGCTGCAGAGGTGATGGGGAGAGAGATGGGATCACTCATTTGCAAAGGGTTTTATTTTTACTATTTACACTTGCTAGACACATTCCTGATGAGGAAAGTGAGCAGACAGCTTACCAGCTAGCAAAACAACGGGTCAGGCAGTTGCATCCATACTGAGGGCAGATGCATGTAGCATGTCTAGCTAGATCTTGGGGTACACATGCTTGGACATAGGTCTTTATAATTATACACTGAAGAGCAGCTGCATTCAGTTAAAGATCCTATGGCTTGATAATGGAGATGCAAGTTGGTTTTATGTATTGGTGAGGTAGTGGGAAGGGAAAAGAGAAAAGTAGTTTTCAGTAGTCATTAGAAGAGGTTTGGGTTCATAGAATTCTGTTGAGGATGATGGTGCCAGGTAAAATTATTAATTGTACCCTATTAAAGAAACTAATGACTATGTTCAGATAATTTTGGCTTAAAAGATGTTTGTGGACTGAATCAACATTCTCAAGATGCTTTTCTACACTTTTCTCTGTTTTGGAGAGGAAGCTATGAGAACAAGGAAACTATTTTTAACAGTCTTTTTGCTGAAAATTGAACGTTCCCTTAACATGCCAGCAGACTTAGCTTAGCTCAGAGAAAGGAAGCACATAAGCTCTTGTTCTGGGTATATGCGTATGCAGCTACCTGTGCAGAGGTAAGACTCTTCGCTCTCTGCAGAGGATCCAGTCTTTCTCTCCTGGCTGGCTCCAGAGAAAATAATCTGCTAAATTACCAAATGTTATTGCTGTGAGTACCCTCTAGTGGTGACAGCAATACAGCGACAACTTTACCAGAGAGTTTTCAGCAAATGACTTTTTACTGAGCTTTTATTGAGCATTGTTTATAGTAATTGAGCAGCTCCTCCTGTTAGAGCTAATGAAAGTAAATATTTAAAATCCAGTGTTCCATTCATTTATGAGATGCAGAAATTATTAGAAACGTATTAGAATATCTTCTCTCTGCTGCTGCAGACTCCAAGGCTTTGGTTCATACTGTGGGAATATACTCCCCGTTTGAACAGCCACAAATAAGTTGTATCTGGGATCACTGTGTCTAGAGCCCTCCCAGAGGTCACCTTTCTATTCTTACTGCCCTGCTGCAAGAGGGCCCTGATACAGTCCAAGTGTTGCCAAAATGTGTTCAAGCTGAGCCTAAGGTGTGTGCCTGCCACCTACAAACCGAGCAACTTCTTTCTGAATTGAATTGATCCAGGACTGAGATACATTTGTGAGCGTGTTAGTGGCCTATCTTGGAAAATAAAAGAATGCAGGAAAGTGGTTGGCTCTCCACTACTGGAAAGAGGCTCTTAAAAGGTGCCTGTTCTTGGTGAGATCAGGTCAGTACCCGGAGCTGGATGTAATTTTCATATGCACCCAGAACTGCGTGCCTCAATTTGTACGGCTGGAGAGACAAGGAGAGAGTACAGTTGCTGTAGATGTTTTCCTTAGAGTTGGTACAAAGTGAATTTTTAAGCATCCCTCCCATTCTTTCCAAAATGGGCTTCTCACTAACAAAATTTAACAAATAATTATCCTGGGAGTTGCCACTCTTGTCTTTTCCCAGCTGTGGGTCCCTCAGTCTGAGCTTGCTGGGAATCAACCAGTGGCAGTTCCGGTGAAGGAAGAACAGTGTTTGAATGGGAAATGCTTGTTTTACTGATGTGCTCTGAAATTGATAGGAGCTTGTACAGTTTCTTTTGTCTTAAGAATCTTGAGTTTTAGGTGGATGGCCAGGTGTTATTTAAGGCCCAGTTCTTCTCTGCATTTAAGACCTCTGCCGTCAGCAACAGTATCACCTTTAGCTTATGCCCTTCATTGAATGGAAGATCTTCCCTAGTAGAGGCCTAAAGTCAAATACCTGGATTTTTCCCTTAATTCTTTCTTTTTTTTTTTTTTTCTTCTTTAATCTCTCTACTAAACTAGGAGATTTCCTCTGGAAGATATCCCTCAAGATGAAAAGGAAGCTGCAAACTGGCTTCATAAGCTTTATCAGGAAAAGGTAAACAGCTTGCTTTTCTCCTTTGCAACTTTCACAGGGTGGTGTACTCTTCCACTGGATGGAGAGCAGAGTTGGAAATACTATGTATAATTTGGCAGACGTCCTTCAAACTGCTGGAAGGAGCAGTACAGAAGAGCCCCATGGCCACAGAGGGCTGGCTAGTGAGTCTGAGGTCTAAGATTGTCAGGAAGCACAGTGGGATTCAGAGATACGCCTGAGTTGCAGAAAACTAATAGCAATCCACTGTCTTTTTATATTCCTCAGCTCTTGGGTCTCTTGTCACTCTGTCATACATTTCTAAAAGCCCCATTTTCCCTGTGGGTGTGTTTAGACACTCAAGAAGAGTGATAACTGTATGTCAGGGACAGCCAGTCCCAGCTCCTAGCTGCAGTGGCCCTTTGCTTTCATGTTTCTTCCACTGTCACTTTTCTTCTGCCACCTCTGCAGCGGTATGTGGCACAGTACAGACAGTCCCTGGGATCTGCTGCGAGGGACTGATGTAGCACACGGCCAGCGTGCCTTCAAACAGCTCAAAGCTTTGCTTCGTGTCTTTCCTTTTTTTACCTTAGATAGTTAATTTCTTGACCACAGATTTAACAGTTCCATGGGGAGGAGGACAGACCTGTGATTAATGTTGTCCAGCCCTAATTGGTGGATTGTTGAACTTGAAATGTGTATCTTGATTTTTGTGGTGTTTATCTTTGTGGGAAAGCAGAGGAGCACAGAAACCTTACCTGCCTTGGGCTTTCTTCTGCTATGATGACCTGTGCTGCAGCATTTCTAAGCTTACACTTCATCTGTAGGTAGGCAGCTGATTGTTTGTAAGGGTCAGGAAGTCCCCTTCTGAGTTTCATTTTGTTCATTTTAAGCTAATTTGTTTGAATACCTAAGCTATAATTCAATTAAGTGGGGAGAAGTTATCTTACCTCTGTAAGGTAAGCAGCTATCATCATCTTCTCCCCCCACCTCCCATTCGCAAGTGTGTCAAACTAGCTTATGGGACAGTTAGTGTAATACTGGGTTAGAGAGCTTAAAAAAAAAAAAAAAAAATTGGGGATCCTAGAATCCCGCCCCCTGTTATCAGGGACATGCCATCGTGTAATTCATGTAATTCCCTTGTGAAAAGGCTCTTAGATGCAAGAATTCCTTCCAACGTGGCCTGGCTGGAGGAGCAGACATTAAGATGTACGTTACAGGGACGGTCTTTCTCTGCTTAGCTCCTGCTTTGTTAAACAGTAAGTGCAGAGCTAAGGAGCTGCGGCACAGAGCGTTCACTCCGCTTGGTGCCATTCCTTCGGCAGAATGCTCTGCTTTGCTCGCAGATGGAGGGCTTGGTGTTCCTTGCTGGTGTTGGCTGTACCTCCATTCAACTTTGGTGTGAGGTGTTGCCATGGAGGCATTACTTATATATGTGGGTATTTTATTTATTGATCTTACAGTGGTAGCAGTATGCTGTAACTGGAATCCTTAAAGTACTCTTCCCGCACGAAGGGTATGTCCTCAAAAGGCTGTGCTGTTGGCAAGGAACGCCTTGTGCTTTTCAGCCTGTTATAAGGGAATCTAAAAGAGAAACAGCTTAAGCGGGGAAAAATAAGAAATAGCCAAACGTGAGTTATCCTTGGAAATGGCTTGGAAACCTTGCAGAACGAACCGAGGGGAAGCTGTGGGCATGCTGCTCTTTCGAGTGATGTGTTTCATGATTGCGTCTCTCTGCGTGCTCAGCTCAGGATGCAGCTGCTCTGTTGAAGTCTTGGGGTTATGGATAGCACAGTGCAGTCTCTGCTGGTTAGCTTGTGCTTTGCTCTTCTGGCTGTATATACAGCATTTTTCTGCTGTGCTTTGCTAAATCATGCTCACCTTTTTGGAAGTAAGAACAGGAAGAAAAAGCATCCAGTGAGGAGGCAGGTAGTGTCTGAACTGGCCTCTGGCCTGACGCTGCCCTAAATTCCTAAGCAGTTAAGAGAAGAGGTGAAGGTATTTGGTAGTGGAGAGGCTGATGCAGTTTCAGTTTCTGATGGTGGCCAAGACTGCCTTTGAAGCAGTCAACAGAAATGCCCGGATGAATGACAGCAGATGGAAATGGATGCTGTGTACCCTCAATGGGTATTTACCACAGATACTGTCCTTTGATTTTGTCCTGGAGTTCAGTAGTCTTTGATTGCTTGGTGCAAGCATTACGAACATGTTTTCTTTTGTGTTCTCTTTTTCCCAGGATGCTTTGCAAGAGATGTATAATCAGGAAGGCATATTTCCTGGCCAGCAGTTTAAACCTCCTAGGAGACCATGGACTCTCCTAAACTTTCTTTTTTGGGCCACAGTTCTCCTCTCTCCTCTCTTCACATTTGGCTTTGGAGTTTTTGCAAGTGGATCACCTCTCCTTATCCTTGCATTCCTGGGACTTGTTGGAGCAGGTAATAACAGCAGAGAAGATGCTAAGCCCAGAGTGACATGTAACAGGATCCATTACCTCCAATAAGTTCTGTGTATTAATTACTATGAACAGGGCTTGCAGAAGAGTACTTGGAGCTCGCTCTGTAGTCTTTGTATTGTATAGCCTGTTTATTATTTCAAAAGCTTTAATCCAGGCAGGCTTGCCTTCATATTTTAGGCAATATCTATAGTAATCAATAGCAAGCGAGTCTCGTAGCCTGTTATTATGGTGCCTGAAGGAGAAAATACTTGCACACCTTGTCTGAATTTAAAAAAAAACCCAAACAACAAACACAAAAGCAAACAAAAAATACAAACAAGAAACCCTAACAAAACCCCCCCCCCACAAACCAAACACCAACCAAATGGGAGCAGGGGGTGGGATGTGCTTCAGTGTTCATACTACCTGTCCTTTTAATCAACATAGAAGCATTAATTATATCTTTAAGTCTGGATTGTCCTCTTTTAGTGACACCTGACCTGTGATCCGTGTGTTGCCTCATACAGCACACTGTTGGTCTGTAGTCACTACTGTCGTCAGGATTGGGTTAACTCATGTTGGTTCTGCTTGTGTGTTTACATGTAACTTCCTAAATCCTTGAACTGGTTTTAATATGCCTCCCATTTCTCTGTTATATTTTCAAGCTTCCTTTGGAGTTCGCAGACTGATAGGAGTAACTGAAATAGAAAAAGGCTCCAGCTATGGCAACCAAGAATTCAAGAAAAAGGAATAACTGACAGCTGCAGTTCAGCACATATAACCAGACTATGGTATCCGATTAACTTCAGTTAAAAAACAACAACAAACACTTAGAAACTATCTTTTTCTTAATAACTGATGACTAATATTAATGAATAAAACTTGAGCCAAGAATGAAGAAGTTGGAGGCATCAACTGAAGAGAACGCATCAACTTTCTGCCTGTTTAAGGATTACTGTAGTCAAACTATGGGAGAAAATCTGGGGTGGGGTGGAAGAAGAAACTGATTTTTCTTGCTTTGTTCGGGGACCTGGGGGTGGGGGGAGAAAAGAGGGCATTGGCCATGGCCACGTGCATCTTCAGATGACTGAATACACTGGTTTCTGTCAAGAGCACTACACTCACTTTTACAACAGGAGCCATTGAATGTTTCCTCTTGCTAAAGCCAACGTAATGTTTGTTGATTTCCAACTTTTTTTATTAATGAACCAGGAAAAAACAACCCTTCTTAAATTAATTGACAGATGTTTATTGGGTTAGAGTGATTTTGGAAAGGCTGTGTTGTCATGGCTACAGATGAAATCCTATTTGTATGTTACACTGATACTTTTTATTTTCAGGCAATGTCTTAAAACTTCTGTAACGCGAGAGAACAGTTAGTGGAGTTCGGAAGCGGTGCGTTATTGATCAGCACATGCCGTAGCACAGATCCGCTAGTATTAAACCAGTATAAAATTCTCATCATATCTCCTGCTAACTGCTCAAGGCTGCTTAGTTTCAAAATATTACTTCAGTCTTGAGTGTTATTTGCCCTGTTTCACATCATACATGTATGATAATCTTGAATCTGTTTGGGCTTGTTTTGTTTTCTGAATTAATGGTGACCATGGGATTTGGAGTTGTGCAAAGAAGGAAATGTATTCAATTGTCCTGACGTTTTCTCCTTTTATTTCTGTTTGCATCTCTCATCGCCAAAGTCCAGTTCAGCCAACCTCTCTCAGTGAACTTGGAGGCAGCAGCAGAAATCAGTACAATAGTTTTCAAAATGTCGTCTTTTACAAAAATGAAAAGGAGAGGTCTGTAGCAATCACATTTCGAATACTGGCATTCTTGAACTTTTAATGAGCATTTCGACATTGATTCAAATGGGACCAGGATCTTACCCTGTGTTCTGTAATGATAGGGTGTGCTGCACTTTCTACTTGGTTGTGCTTTAGATGTTAATGTGAAGTATGTTGCAAGGTGAGCTGTGCTGTTAAGCATTAGAAAGAGTATGGGGTCTCTTCAGGGATTTTAAATATCTTTAGTTTTGCTTGTTGACTTTTGGGTTTTTTCACTGAAAATTAGAGATCAGAATCATGGCTGTACCTGTCTTTTTTTTTTTTTTTTTTTTTTTTTTTTTTTTTCTTTTTTTCAA